CGTTAAAAAACTAATTTTTTTCGGTCTATTTAAAAGGCAAGATTTCTTCAGCCCATGCTGCATTAGCATCAAAGAAATTCTGAAAATTCTACAGCACATCAAACTGAAATCACAAAATTACAATCTTATAACATGTACACAATAATAAAAAGGTGATGGACAGCACAACAGTACAGTAACAATGGAAACAAGCATGAGTGCATAATGCAGAACTTTATTAGTTGTCTGTAGTGAGTTATTGGTGTGCGGCAGTAAATAAAGCAGAGTGGGGGTTCACAAAGCAATAGTTTCCCCATGTGTAGTGGTGCAGCAGCTCAGAAAACTCTCCACAGCGTCCAATATCCTCAACTATGACACTGTGGGCTGTGTTCTCGACAACTTGAGCATAAAAACGGTCATCAAAATTTTGTATCAAGAACCAAAGCCAGAACACACTGGTGCGGGCCACACATCATAATCAGTGACGCTTGAGCAAAGCGCGGAAGGTCATCATCTGGTACAAGCACAAGTATCACACAGATCACACTTAGTCTTCTTCCAGAGACCATGACAGGAACCACACTACAAATCTGTCACAGTCGAACTCGTATCTGGTAGCCTGTCCTTCAAGGGGTTGAGTAATGAGCTTGAGTCTGCTCTTTTTCTCTCTGTAGTGTCACTAAATTCTGGAGTTGAGTCGAAGCATACATGAGGTGCATTTGATGTCGGCAGCTTAACGTTCCACAAGTGTTCCTGAAGGTGCGAATTCTCCGGGCAGTTGACTTGGAAAATTGGTGTTTCGCTCAAAACGCATGCAGGACGGTATAGAAAGAGGGCTGTACAAGAGCAGAAGTCTGAGATAATAATAATAAGAAATTTATTTGGATTATAAACATGTTACATATGCATGCCCGCGAAAGCACTGGTGTGCTTGTATGCGGGACCTGGCGACCAGTGGCCCGCGAAAGCACTGGTGCACGGCAAAAGCAGGCAACTTCAAACACCAATCTTTTAGTTCATATTTACTGGGTTTCAGTGGCTCCATGTTATAGCAAGTTTCTGGAAACTTGTTAAAATAAAATGGAACGTAATAGGCCTATTGTTTTTTCTCATAATTTTCATAAATCTTGGGAATAACAAAACTTTCTATGTGCCTAAGTGTTTGTTCCCTTTTTAAGACTATTTTAAAGTGTAGTTTTTCTATCGATAACACCATTAAGACATACATTTTTTGATTCATTTCCAAATCTTTGTATGTCATTCCATAAGTAATATTACTTGCAATTTTATGTAGTATTGTCATTTTTTTTAATAATTGGAACACACATCATGTAACGAGATACCATATTGGAGTATTGACTCACCCAGAGCACTATAGACTCTCCTTAATGACATTGTCGCTACACTGCACATCCTGTACAAATATACCAAGACAGCACACATTCTTTTGATAAGATATTCTATATGCTCATTCCACAGGAGATTTTGATCTAGATGTATTCCTAAATATTTAGTTGTAACATCTAATCCTACACAACTGCATTGTGTGCATTTCTGTGAGTGGGGAAATAGTGGAGTGCTAAAGTTTAAATGTTTATACAGACTATGCAGACATATCAGTTTTGTTTTACTGAAATTAACAAAGATGTCATTAGCAGAAAACCAGCTTATTATTTAATATCTTCTGAAAAATGGACAAATCACTGTTTGTCACTCGTCCCTAATATCAAGGCATGTATTAAGTAGTGCATCTTTGGAATTATGTTAACACCTGGCAATATTTCCTTAAAGGGACCATGAAATGATTTTAAAATCGAGTTTCATCCACCGCACGTCGTAAATGGTGTGAAAAGAAACACAAAAACACAAAAATAGGGAGCCCAAAAAAATTATTTGCTATAGAACTTTTAAAAGAAAACTGGACTCTTTTGCGCCTTCCTTCCTTCGCCTGTTCACTACGATGCATACGCAGAATCGGTGCACGTCAGCCGAATCCACATCGCCTATTGGGTAAGAGCCTACCTCACCAGCACCGCGATCGTAAACAATAAATAGCCGGCGAATGTTTCCTAAAAGTTTTGTTAAATAATATTCAGATCCACATTTTGTAGCATAATTAGAGATGTGTGGCGAAAATTGCCAAATTTGATAATGCTGAGAGCCAAGCGCCATCTATCGTGTGGTAAACGAAGCAACTACTGCGCATGCGCAGTAGGGCAGGGCCGCCAGTTACTTGGTTGACGGCGACCGACGAACATTTATTTTCTTTGTTTTCCTTCCTCTCAAAACTCTGACTGACTGAACGTTTATTTTTCTACGTGTTCTTCCCGCACGTGCCGACTTCAAGCAGCAAGAAAACAGTACTTAAAACAGACCACGACGAACAAGAACGCTGGATTCACCGACTCCGACGAAGCGTATAGGCCTAGCAGGCATTCCGACTCGGCGCTTCGTCGCAAGACCGTCTGCCTACGACCGGCTGGCGTGCTAAATGGAATATGCCCGCGCGACCCTTGTGGACCCTTCCCGTATTATAGTTTGATCACTGACCTCAATTCTAGATTAAGAGGTGAGGAGGTCAATCTCTTCCCCTTGTTTTCCGAGGCAGTGTTGACGAACACTCGTCGAAAAGGGACTCTCGTCGATTCTATCTTCTTGTTTTGTGTGATATAGAGCTGAAATAAACGCCGTATGGATTGCCTTCGTAACACGGTATGTACACTTTGTTATTGGAATGCCATTTTTATTCTGACAGACTGGACGTCACTGTCGACCCCGGTCCAACCTTTCTTTGCCGAGTGTCGCGTCAGTATCGAGTTGCAATCGTAAAAGAACGGTCCCGAAGCGCTTACCAACAGCGCGAATACAAGACTTCCATCAAGCGCGCGCGTCCGCTCCGAGTGTAAGCAGGTATTTACGTGGCTCTTGCTGACACTCGTAGTTCAAACGTATCTTTTTTAACGTCGGCTCGCTCCTGCATCTCCGAGGCCGCGAAAAACGCCATCTACGTCGCTTTGCAAACGACTGACACGGGCCGGCCCTTCTGCCAACAATGACGGGGTGGTGACAAGACTCGCTGCACTTCCCAACAGGCATACCGGCGTATGGGACTAGTCCCATGCTGTCGCTGTAGCGCAACATATCTCATTGAATTTCGCTCAGCTGCGATGCGGCGATGAGAGGCGCCGATTCAGGAAATACGTCGGTGACATCAGCGCAGTAAAACCTACCGGCGCACCCCAACTCGTTGCCGCTAACACTCCCATTCTCCTACTGCCGAGAGAACTTCCGGTTCCGGAAACGGTCTACGTCACGGCTTCTTTTGCGGTCAGTTGGAGAGAATGAAAAAGTCGATATTTCAATAATTTTTTGTGTAAAAGTTAATAAACCGAGACGAAAACGGATGCCTGTTCGGCATTCAGTGAACATTGACGGTTCAATGTAAAAGTTATCTGGAAAAAGTAAAAAGGTCATTTCATGGTCCCTTTAAATGCATTGTAGAGGTCGTCAGTGAGCACTTGCAAGTGTGCAGCTGCGCTACAACACTTGTGGTGCAAGAACAATATCTACGACAGCATGCAATATGAGGTGCACTTCATATGCAGCATTTCCTTTTGGGATAGTCACCCAGAAGCAGAGAAAATAACTGAAAAAAAAAAGCTTCTTGGCAGCTGAACCCTTCATAGCTGAATGTCCAAATACTGTTTGATGTGAAACAGGAGAGACCTTTGATTTCTTGTGTTCCCCTTGGAAAGGAAATGAGGCAAGCCTCTCGCTTAACTGATCAACAAGTGTCAGCAGATGACCTGATATAATGCACCAAAGAACATATATCATGACACATGGAATGACCCCTTCAAACAAGACATGCATGACATCTGGCAGCAGGCCTTGAGTCACATCAAATGACCGAAGACCACTTGGACAGCTTTCACCAGTAACGCCATATATAAGCTAGTAATGCTTTGATCTGTCGTGGCCGGTTGAACATGAGCATGCATTTGCCTGTATCTAAGAATGAACCTATCTTCATTCCATTTCTTATTTTTATTTCTTTATTGTCACACAGAAAGAGCAGACAAGACTAGATGAAAAACATTTGTGAAAGCCGCCAAACTGGTGGCTTGACAGGTTATCACTGCACACATACAAAACTGAGCCCTCCAACATTTCTCTGTCAGGCTCTACACCATTTGACTTGAGCTGCTGAAGGTCCATAAGAAGTGGCTGGACAATGCAGTGCAGAGTGAATTTGGCTACGATCTATGAGTTTGCCAGGAGGACAAGGTATTTGTCATTAAGCTTGGAGTGGGATCGGGGCGATAAATTTAGGATTCTTAAGTACCCAGTCAGAACTTGAGACTTTCCACGTTTGCTTCCTAGGGGATTACACACTTTGAACTCATCAAAGTAGAGTTCAAAGATCAATTGCTTCTCGCTACCTGCATTCCTGATCCTACTGTGCTCTTTGGAGTATGTGCCTCGCTGCCTGCGTTCCTGAACATACTGTGCTCTTTAAAAGATGTCAGCACACATGTCATGCAGGGGAGTAGAGCAGCATATTTCAGTTTCTCCAAAAAGTTTGTGCACTTGAATTTGAGTGTGCTGAAAGTTTTGATTTGGTTGGTTATTTGACACACTGTTTGAGGAGCTACAAAACCAATCTTTTACAGTGATTCTCCCTGCCTGCTTTAGATCCAAACATCTAAAGTTTTGTTATGTCAATGAAACTGTGTTCCCTTATACTCTGCTGCAAAGATTATTACATCATTGACAATTTCATTTAGGATGCTCTCTGGCAACTGTCTGCTCTCTTGCCAGTTCAGTGGCAAAGAAGACTAATGAGTGGCACACTGGTCACTGGCATTAGGACTGCCACAATCAAGGTTATCTGCCTGAGCATATGCTTGATCACTGAACCCACTGCAGGACTCATCCACCGGTGGAAGGTCTTCGGACTGTGGTGGCTCCACAAGGGTCTCGGTGGTACTTGGAAGAAGCAGATGCTTGTGGTGACTGCAGATACGTTGTGGAATGAGCCGTAAAGTCTAAATGTCTTCGCACAGCCTTCCCAGTTGCGGTCTCAACTGCTATCTGTGCAACCCGCAGAAGGCAGCTGTGAAAGCAGGTCTTTGGAAAGCTGTTCCTGTTAACAAATCATCCCACAAGTTGAGCGAAACCATACAGTACGACACCATCGCCCGAGATGTTGGGCACAGCAGGTTACTCAGTCAGCGTGTCTACCAAATTACTTGTCTCAAGTTCCCCAACATATCTAGCCTCAACCTTGCTATCTCAATAAAAATTTGTGACCGTTTCTTCGGCTGAAGGATTAGTTTGAACAACATCATCAGCATGTCCGTGCCAATGCTTGTTCGTCGGGCTTTGTTGCGTTCCACCGTGCCACTTTCACTGGTTTTTTCCTGAGTTAAACAATTTTTTTCTTGTTTTTTTTTTATAATTCTGACAATTTCAGGTTTTCCAGGCTGGTTAGACACTGTCTGTGCATCGCCGTGGCTCCCACGAGGCAGACTAATGCATACTCTATGCAGGCCTTCCCACAGCACAAATCAATTTAAACTTCTTTATAACTGTCAAAACCGAAGAGCCATAGAATGTGCTGTGTTTGAATAGTGCTTAGCTGCTCACATGATATATGCATGTGTTGCAAGAGACAACATCAACAATAGATATATTTGACCTGCAGTGTATAGTACCTATACAAAAGGGCTACAGAAGGCAAGGCAGCGTGCAAATGCGTCGAAAGCAAAATCATTCGGATAAAAAGCTCACGCCCCAGGCAGACACTGTTACTTAATGTGTGTTATGGGCGTGAAGCACAATCATGGCAAAGCAATTTAAGTTTCAGACAAAAAGTGAACACTATTTTCTAAAATTATTCAGTTAAATACACACAATAGTAATATTTTATTGCTTACATGGTGACGGCACTCCAAATGCTGGATGTGCCTCTTCCTCATGGGCTAGAAAAATTAAAGAAATATACATCCATGTCGAATATCGCATTACTTCGCTCCCAGCTCCTTTTTATGACTATTTGTATTACCCGAAACCTCCGTTTCTACGGTTGAGCTGTTGACCAGTCTTTTTGTCTTTTTCAGTGCCTTTTGATAGGTCCCTGAAAGCAAATATTAGAACACACCAATATCAGGGTTCATTGTTTTCAGTTTCACCCAATAAGAACCGGTGAAGTATGCTGGATTCCTTTTCCGACATTCGGTTTTAACCGAAAAGGCAAGTATTTTAGAGCGGCATTGCATGCAAAGTTGGGAATGGCAACGGAGGGAGGGAGGGGGGGTATTTGTCGGCACATGACTATAGTCAGCTTGTCTACATGACAGCGAAGTGCTCTGTTGGCATTTAGGGTGTTTAGCTTCGTTTGTCGTCTGGATAGAATTTTTCGCCTTCGTGATCCAGTTTTTGTATGCCAATTGTCTCCTGTCCTTTTCTTAATATTGTGCTTGGATTGTTGTAGTGTATATCATAGATATTTTTCTGAAAGGGGGCACCTAATAAGAAAAAGCCGCGAATCTGCTTCTCATATCTGCAAGTGCTGCCGTGCGGCGTGCAATAATTAAGTTTGGACAAACAAGCTAGAAAAGTGTGAGGTCAATACATATTCACAGAAAAGAAAAGACGCTAAAGTTTCGCTTGTATATATATTCTCCTTGTCAAAAGCCGAAAAATTTCAATGAAAACCGAAAAAAGTATGCCGAATTCAAGAAAAATAAAAACCGAAAACGCAGAACCGTAATCATAACAGCATAACTTCGACAATCTCAATGTTTACCATTCGTGAAAAATGCAGACTGCGAAGTACTGGCAACATTGTTACGTAGGCACAAAAGCACGAACAAATCGGTAGTTTCTGGTTATTTTGTGCTGCTTGTTCACCTCCTCTCCATTGTAATACGTGCAAAATGTTTTTAGTTGTGTCATCAATGAGTATAGGGACTTTAGAAACTATAAATTAGATTGCATTTACTGCAAATGTCCTGAACAATATCAAAAAAGTCCTCACAATTACTAATTTTTGGATGGGTAGAACTTAATCGTCTTCACAAAATCATCCAGAGAAAAAAGGTACAAAATAAATACTGTAAAATGATGACAGTACATGGGAACATCTCTCACCCACTACCAATGATGCCTGGTGGCACCTCCTATTCCACCATGGAGGACACCCTGGACCCCTTAATATGCAGTGGCCAGGCAAACACGTCTTAGTTTTGAAAGCCAGGTCACTGGCATGACTGCCAGGCAGTCTTCCTTGTCCGGAAATTTGATAACTGCAAATGGCTTGTCCATCCTACACTGAAGAAGCAGCAGCAGGAGAAGATGTTCATTAGCTCACATATCCTGCATTACCAATTGGAACCCAGGATGTACCCACAGTTTTGTAAGCTTATGGATGACGGACCACCCAATAAAATTACTTGCACATGACTCTCCTACATTAAAATAGAGTTGGGCATTAATATTGGTCATATCACAAGATGGAGATTTATTAACCTATTCATGTTGCCAGGTTTCCAAGTGACACGCAACAATACACTAAATATTCAAAACCGAATATTTGCACACTAAATGTAAAGAAAAGATTTCTTGGTTGTTTGCTCCTTTAAGTCCCGATTCGTGACAATCTGGCAAGTTCTGCTGAAGTCTACTATTGGGTAGCACCGTAAATATTCATGGAAGCGCAGAGCTACCCATATCTATGTTATAATCCAGAACAGAACCAGGCTCTCGGCAAGGAGGTACAACTTGCTGTTAAAAATAAAGGTACATTCGTCACTTCCAAATCATCCCCTCTGTCTTCGTGACCTATAGAAACCATGTAAATTCAGTTTTCCTCGTAGGATAATGAAGAAGTTTGGAGAAATTGGCCTTAAAGGAGCCTTGCAACCGTATTTAAGCATCTACCTCTTTGCGGTTTCCACGTCTCTTGGGGTTAGGGCAAGCCAGCGAGCACGGAGAGAGTAACTAAATATCAGTGCGCCATATTTTAACCAGACGAAGCGGAAACCTCCTCCACCTACAGGGGCGACCCGCAGTGCCAAAAGTGTGCGATATGTCGTCTTACGTCCTCGAGCCGCTTCTCAAGATGCTTGAGAAGTGCAGTGCTTTCTTTCACCCAGCCTCAGCCGAGACACTGCTCTAGCAAACCGGCCGAGGGCTTATCTCGGCAAATGGGGCTTTTCTCAGCCCCATTTGGGCAATCACCCTGTCCCTCTTTTCTTCCGCCAGTATGTGGAGAACAGAATCTAAAGCCATCAGTAGCCCAAACTCCTCCAGCGATTCATTGTCTGGGACGCTGCTGGCCTCGTCCTCTGGCACCTGGACAACATCACCTTCTCCGGCCTCAATGCAGATCTTATGGAGGATGCAACATGGCAGTGATGAACCTTGTTGCATGATCAACAGTAAAGAACTCGCATAGCTTCAGCTGCCTGAAACTTTTTTTCAGATCAGCAAACACATTTCGATGAGCACGCGTGTACTTGAGAACTTCCCATTGATGTCCTTCTTCTTTTAGTGAGGGACCCATAGTTTCTGAAAGGAGTCATCAGGTACTCTCTCAAAGGGTAGGCCGCGTCACCCAGGATGTGGTACTGGCCCCTACGGCAGATTTGCGAGAGCTTGTTCACGATGCTGTAAGTCCTAAATACCCTAGCGTCATGAACCTTATTTGAATGTCCCCCGGTTATATCCAGAAACCGCTTGTTGCAGTCACAGATGGCTTTAAGTGCTAGTGAGGGGTAATGGCACTGGTTCACAAATCGACCGGACCTTGTTGGCCGGGCATTCAATTGCAATAAAGGATCCGGTACACCAGTTACCTGCAGTATGAATGCTAGTCGAAGGTTTCTCAGAGAAGATAGAAGACCAATGAATAAATACAGTAAATGACAAACAATACAAACGTTTTTTACACAAGTGCACGCACCAGCTCAACACTGTTACGTCACGTCACGGCGGTGGTGCTTCGGGCACACTTCCGGTCGGGTGTGGGTGGAAGTCGCCATGTGAGACGGGCATTCTCGTGTTGTGTTGGAAGAAAGCAGACTAAAATCTGCCTTGTCAAAAAGCCACGACTAGGGATGCACCAGAAGGGGCGGGAAAGATGCCACGGTAGGTTTCCCATGTTTTCTGCCTGCCCGGCTCGTCGAAGAATGTGGATAGGTTCTGCGGAAAGAAAAAAACTGACGCCGTCGGAACATAATTGCTTGTGTAATTGCTCAATGTAAACAGTGAATACAAGGAGATGATCATTTACCGGTGGCTACCAGCGACTTGTTATGCGCAATTCACGTGGTTGAATTCTGCTAGAAATTTTCAGTATCAGTACACGCTTTTGCAAACCTGATCGACATATGTCGCTTGGGCTGAAAAAGCTTGTACGGTAGCTTTGTGCAATACAAAAGTGTGTACGGTAGCTGAGGGTGGACTATCCCAGAAAACCTCGGGACTCTGATGTATGGAACTTGAGCCACCCAAGTCACTCAGGTTCCATACATCAGAATTGGAGTATTTGTAGGACAGTGCCCTCTCAAACTGGCAATCAGTTTTCTATGCAACTTGATTTCAAAATAACCCAAAATAACAAAATAACTCGCAATTCGACCCGATGCGAAACCCGACAACTGGCCACCTTACGGGGGATTAACAGGGCACGCTATAATATTAATCTGCCAGATCAGTATTTGATACTACAATCCAAGACTTTTCATTGTTTATGCATGGCAGTACCATTTTTTCCCCCAAATTGACCCAGTAAAACCTTGCCCCCCAAGACCCTTATTATTGACCTTAATGACCTAACTCGAATGCTGAGAGTCGTAGAGTGACGAGTGCAGCCTCCATGGATGAATCTGGATGGTTGTATTGCAAATTCATTCATTGTTTCTGGCGCAGCTTGAAATTTGCAACATGGAGAGTGTCAATGAGTTCACTGATAATTGCACCTGTATTAAAACGACGACATGCAAAGTAAAACATTATTAAATTACCTATTGAATGTGATGGGGAAATCGAGCTGTATTAAAACTGTATTATAGTTATGATAAAGCATCCAGAATTGCCAGCTTGCTGATCCTGAGGTAGACAAGGCATTCGCAGTGATGGCAAGACCAACGAGAGGGGCGGCACCAGCTTTCAGCGTGTGATAGGCATTTTCTAGGCTAGCACACGCAATCTGCCAGGAAGAGCGCTACATTACCCGTTGGATTGTTTCTGTGCACCAGCCCCCAGGACAGAAACTATCCAGGAAACACTGGCAGGCGTGCTGGCAGAGTTAGGATGATTCCTGCCGATTTTTGTGCGCATGACCGGAATAGGTAAACGAAAAGGTGCAGCTGAGGGGAATTCATTGCAATATGCTCAAAATTATTGGGAACTCACTGGATGAGGTGAGTATAGGGTGAAAATAGGAATATTCCAGTTTTCTTCCTCTGTTACAACTCAAACAACATCACAGCAGCCAAATCAACAAGCTTTGTTAAAAAACGTTAAAACCTTGTTATAGCATGGCTGCCGTGTTATAGATAATAGAGTTCGCTATAGTACTGAAGGTGGTTTCACGCTGTATTTTACAGGCTGTTAGACATAATGCGCATTCAGTCAGGCTGCAGTTTGTCTTTACGAACTGTACACTACATGTAAGACGCATTGACTTGTGCCATTGTTGTTGTGCGACATTGTTCATAGCCAGCAAAGCAATTTACCCTGAAACCGCCTCACAGAGCAGCACAGGCGTCGTGGCACAACTGTCGATGACTCCCTCAGTGGCATGTCGTTCGCATCAACACTTACTGTCAATATGTCAATTGTTGAGCTCTCGGCCCGCCAGGAAATGTGAGCCGTGAAGCTGTCGAAGAGAGACGGTGCTGGAACCAAGCTCACGGTGCCTGCTCCCATGAAAATGCTGTCCGACATCCATGTTAAGAAGCCTGCAGGTAGCTCATATCATTTATTATACCCTTAAAGCGCCCATAGGGCTTTACCTAAGGGGTAGGGGGAGCAAGTACAACATTATACAAAACACAAACAAAAATATAAAACAAGAAAGCAGGTGTTATGGGTTTAAGTAAGTGAAACCAGAGGGTTCTTGGATGGTTACAATATTATCAGGAAAGGAGTTACATTTGTATGTAGCTAACTGTAATGGTGAGAATTAAAAAACAATGTTTGTTCGTGGAGTGAGACGTTCGAGACGTGACTCGATCCTTCCCGATCTCATCTTTTATCCATGAGAGCATGTCTGTTGATGCACGTAACAATTCCACTGTGAGAACTTCATACTCTCGGACGGCTTCCTCCAGGCCAGCAGCTTCCTTTTCTCCTGCACCAGTTAGTGGCTTACTTGACAGCACATCTGCCGTGTTGATCTCCTTTCCCGGGATGTGGGAGATTGTGAAGTCATACTCAAGTAGTCGCCTGCGGAAATGTTGCAGACGAGGACTCGGTTCATCTAGACGCTTTGTGGTGAGAAGTGGCACAAGGGGCTTGTGGTTAGTTTCAATATGAAATTGGAGCCCTAGGAGGTATGTGCGGAAGTGGCCACTAGCCCACGTGATGGCCAGTGCTTCTTTCTCAATCTTGGCATAGCGTTGCTCAGTTTCCGTTAGTACCCTGTATGCATAGGCAACTGGTCGTCGCTTGCCTTGGGACTCCTGCGGGAGCACAGCCCCCAATCCATAAGATGAGGCATCGACCGAGAGCGTCAAGTGCTCTCTTGGGTTGTACATTGCCAATGCCGGGGTTGTAATGAGAGCTGTCTTGGTCTGCTCGAAGGCTTGCTGCTGAGCCTCCCCAGTACCAGACTGCATCATGACAAAGTAGGTCTCTCCTCAGCAAGTCAGGGTGGAAACTTCGCCAAACATTTCATTTATTGCTCTAAACCAAAGTTAGCTTCCCCCTCCCCCCTCCCCCCTTCGCAGCTGTTGGAAGTTTTTTTTTTTTTTTTGTGACTCTTAGGTTGAATCAGCCTGGCCACCCCTGGCGTAGGCCATTTCTGACAGCGATCAACACTCCTCCTCCGCGGCGCTCTATCCTATCACTCCGGGCAACAAAATGTGAGTTGCCCAAAATTATTTCGGTATTTAAAATTTCTGGGGTTGGCCAAGTTTTGCTGAATACAACAATGTCTGCAGGGCGTGAACCGACAGCAGCTAACAGCTCTTCCTGCTTTGAAAGAATGCTTTTGTGAAGGTTGCTTTTGCGAGAGGATGACTTGTTTTGCTTGAGCTTTGCAGGAACCTGCTTTACACATCCAGCCTTTCAGTCAAAAATATACCGCGAGGTTCCAATATTCGGTTTGTCATGACGTAATTTAAACTCGCGGCCTTGTGTTTTCGCAAACGAAAACATTTTTTCTCCGTGCCTTCAGAGTTCCTTTGCAAAGGTCCTCACTCAACTGAAAGTTGATGCTGTTTAGTTTGAATGCTTTCAAAAGCAATAGTTCCTTATCTTTAGACAAATTAAATTTTACGATAATAGGCCTGGTGCGATGGAGAGTTATCTCTGAAAAGGCCGATTCGGTGCGCTCGTTTGATCGAAAGGGGAGGATCTTTACACCATGCATGCCTACCTTCACCCTTCACCAAAGCTGATTATTTTTTCTTCGGACTGTTTTCATGTCTCGTCCCGAATATCGGGCATGTTAAATTAAAGCAAGCTGTTTCGTCGGGAATGATATTCAAGTGCGGCGCATCTTTGCACGTTTTCTTTGATCATAAAAGAATTTTTAGCAGTAAGTTCGGAAACTGCTGCAACATAATTTTTTTTATTGTCCTCAGGTTTGCAATTTCGCAATCAATATCGTCGATTTTGGACTCAAGGGAGGCGAAAAGTGAATAAGTATTTTTTAGTTTGTCTTGTATGGCTCTTATTTCGCTTATAATTTCCAGAGTTGAGCTTGCTGGTAGGACATTAGAGAGCTGGCAGGGGCAGGTTCGAGTTTTCTTTCCACAGACTGCCTTCGTGCTACTAGGAGAACTGACGTGAGGTCAAAGTTTCCTATGTTCTCGAGGTCCCTTCCTAGTGCGTGAAAAGACTGCAGTTGTTGCTCTACCTCCTGCTTCTCGACACGTGCGTCGTAGAGCTACACTGGCATTGCCATCTCTACGCCACCCTCCCGAGAAATCCAGTCTACATCTTGGACGCTCGTCGCCTTGATGTCTTGTCGGCGGGGGTGCTCCCATTGCTGGGGAAGTTCTGTGGATGAGAGCGCAGGCGATGCCTCTTTAAATCCCTCTTTCTTCAACAAAATAAACAGCTGTAGAACAAGTCTACGGCTGCACGCACCCCTAGCTTGCACCAGCAGGGCATGCACATTTTGATTCTGTCACTGCACCGCTGTCGGCCTTTAATGCCAGGAGGACGTTGTGGGGCAGAGCAGTTTTTTTCTGGCTCCGGTAGCATACCTCTCGGCCATAGACGATCCCAGGGATGCAATAATGACAGGTAAAAAGTTTACAAGTGGCACTGAATTAACTTTTTGCTTTTCTAACAATAACAATGCTACAATCAACTACAAAAAACATAGCTAAGTGGCCAAAATACCAATTTGATAATAAAGCTAAAACCAGATGTTACCCACAAAAATGTTTTTTTGTTTGTTTCTTTTCATGGTTGATACAATAAAACCTTGGTACCACCTACCCGCATAAGCCGTAATTCCGCTTTAAAAGTAGCTTAGTCAGATCCCTGACATGTCTCCTGTTAAACCTAATGCATTCAATGCCCGCTTAATGTGTAGTCGCTTATCGTGTACTTACCGGTCAATGCGCACTGTTTTCACTTTCCGGTACGTACTAAGTTAGAAGTTGCTGCCATGCATGTGACGCGCAGCGGTGCTAAAGCCGTGCGGCCGGGCCGCTGCGCACCAGCAGCAACGACCACGGCGGGAGCGAACACGCGAAGCCAACCCAGCGTGAAAGCGAGGGCGCAAGCGTGGCGCGAGTTCGGTGCCGCTCAACTCGCCGCCGTTGAGCAGGCGAACGAACGAACATCGGCAACGTTGCTGGCGGGGGACCAGAGTGACCAGAGGCGGTATTGACGCGGTTTACACAGTTTACGTGTACGGGCCTGGCTGGTGGGAGAGGAGGAGCGGAGCTCCTTCGAACAGCGTTGTTGACGTCGCGGCCCCAGCCTCGGAATTGTGTACCGCCCGGGGTCAACTAACAAAGTTGCTGATGCGTTTTCTCGTGCTCCACTTCCCGAGGAACACTCGCAGGATACCCATGGCTTGGTGACCGTCGCGGCCACGACACGAGGATCCCCAGATTCACGGTGGGTACATTGGTGAGCCGCGAGGAGCTTCGCAAGGTGCAGCTGGATGACGGACTCTGCCAACGCGTGTCCGCTTGGCTGGCAGCAAGAGGTCCAGTCGACCGCCCAAGTGACGAGGAGTTAGACTCGTACTTGATGAGCGACGATGGCCTCCTGCTACGCTACATCTCCCAGGACGACGACGATCCGGATGGCTCGGCATTCTGGACCGTGATACCCCGCAAGCTACGTAAGCTTTTCATCCGATACATGCATGACTCTGCCTTGGCAGGACACAGCAGTGGGAGCAAGACTTACGAAAAGTTATCTCAAATTGCTACCTGGCCAGGCATGAGGCAAGATGTGCTCCGATATGCCCGTAGCTGCTCGGTATGTCGGAAGGCAAAATCACGTGGTGGCCAGTCCCCCGGTCTCATGCAACCAATTGCGAGTCGGAGCCCTTGGCAGATTTGTTGCTGTGACGTCATGGGCCCCTTCCCACGTAGTACCCGCGGCAATCAGTACTTGTTCGTGGTAACCGATCACTTCACGAAGTGGGTTGAGTTATTTCCATTGCTGAAGCTAGATTCGCAAAAAATCTGGGAATGTCTACTTGAAACATTCGCCAGGTTTGGCTTTTGTGCACAGCTTGTAAGCGATAATGCCTCCTATCTAACGAGTAAGGTGTACGTAGATGCATGCGCGGTGCTGGGAATCAAGCACAAAAGAACTTCCCCATACCACCTGCGAGCAAACATCACGGAAACGTTAAATCGGAACCTTAAGATGATGCTAGTGGCCTACACCGAGCGCCACAAGGACTGGGACGCGAAACTGCCCGAGCTGGCATTCGCAACCCGTACGACCACTAATCGGTCAACGGGTCTCACTCCTGCCCAATTGAATTTCGGCAAGGAGCTCGCGTTCCCGCTTTTTAACAGTCTCCTTTCTACAGAGTCAGGGGGTAGGCTTCGCCCCTACGTGAAGTTCGCAGAGGACCTGCGAAAGCACTTCTCCGATAACCTTCGAGAAGCCCGAGAAAATCTTGACGTCGCCCGAGTACAGCAGGCAAAACAGTACAACCAGGGGCGACGTGACTTGCAGTTCGAGGTGGGAGATTTTGTACTTCAGCGTACTCACCCATTGAGTGACGCCGCTCGAGGCTTCGCAGCCGCCCTCGCAAACAGGTGGGAAGGTCCGTTTCGCGTGCATGAAAAGTGCTCACCGCTCACCGCTCACTTACGAACTAGTTCACTGTGAGTATAGTGAGGAAACCGGACCTGTTCATATCACTGACCTTAAACGATTTTTTCAAGCAGAAGACGAAGATTCCTCGCAGGACCGGAACGACACTGACTGCAGTCCCGTTCCGGAAACCCCCTTGTCTCTACCAAGGCGGTGGTATAACCTGCGACGTCGGTGACACCGAAGAGAGAGGAACCTTTTTTTTGTCTCCTTGGCCTCTCGCATTTTGGGGGTAGTTTTCGACCTCCACGGATCTGCCCCCTTTTCAAGAGAGGGGGAGAAGATTGTGTACCCACCTCAGATCCGTTATTTCAAACTTTCTGGAAGGGGTGCATGCGAAGACAACGTCAGGCTCAACCCCCAACTGAGCCCCGTGTCATCTGCTTCCTTGTTTTTCTACGAAGCTGGCCCATGGACAACACCGTCACCACAGCCGCCATCGGAACGACACGGCGGCCGGTCTCATGGACGTCGGCGCGCCAGGGACGGCCCAGGGAACCATGGACCGCCACCACCCTCTGCAGGATGGAGCGGCAGCTGGCTTGGATCAGGGACCACAGGCAAAGCAGCCACCTGGTGGAGCCCTGATCTCGAACAAGCTCAAGCGACAAGCTGGAGCTGACCGAGCCGCTGTGCTCGTCAGCAGCCGCCGCGCTCGTCCAGCAGGCGCCGGCTGGACTTGCGTCAGTCCGCCCAACGTCTCCGTCATCGACATGCCGGACGAAGCTTGATGGGGGGGGAAGTGTGGGCGCCCTGGCGACTCCCCAGCCAAGTTGGCCGACTGCGAGGCAAAGGTGCCAAACTTTTCCCGCGTGGCGGCGATGTCACGCCAGCCACGCGCACATCGGATGCGCCGCCTTGATAAGGCAGATCAGAGGCGGCGCACGGAGAGTCGCTGCCTGGACTCGGGCACCGGTGGTAACCATGTTAATCGTCTCGTCCATGTCCCATTAAATGTAGTTTCTTGTTGTTGAAACCGTTGGCTCCGTGTTATTCCTCCGGGTCGGGTATGCAGCAAGGCAAACTGACCACAATGGAGGAATGGATGCATAGCGGAAGTTGGACGGTGACTTGCGCCACCTAACCACATTTTTTTTCTTACTTCAGATTATATTATTTAAGCCTGTTTACTTAGATTTAACACCTTTCTGTTTATTTATATAAAATAAAATCCCGGGTGCCCTTTTTCTTTGTTAAAATTAAGACCAAATATCGCAAAATGCCCCTTTTTTTAGATATACAAATATAATAAAAAGGACATGTCAAGGTGTTAGGTCGTGCTTTTAACAAAAAAGGCACATGTGGCTGTAACTTGTTTTTGTGACGCTTAGGGTAGATAATTACGTTTGCGCCGTAAAATTGAATCTTTAGTGCCCAACGTCCATCAACAGCTTCTTTTTTCTTTTTCGTTTTTGAGCTTTTGTTCCTTTCAAGGTGCATATTCTGCACATATAATAATCTCATTCACAGCACACCTTGAAAAATTCCTACAAAGAAAATCACTATTCAATATCCGATTCAATATTCGGCTCTTTTTTCTCAATTCGATTCGATAACTGCTATTCGGTATTCGCGCACCACTACTTATAAGCACATTAAAAATAAGTAATATTTCGGGGCATCAGGAGCCCATTAAGGTAAACTACCTTTTATAATACCTTACTCACCTTACAATAAGAACATAATTTACCTACCGAAGTGACATTCTGCTGCTCCTGACATCACCCTAGGGCTCCTTGGTTCTGGCAGCCATTGAACTGAAAACAAAGACGAGAACTCTTTAAGAAATGTACATTACCTGCAGAAGAGTTCTGCTGCTAGGAATAAAATAATTAATTCTGAATGCCTTGGTAGCAAAGCATAAGCACCATTAGTTCTGTAACCATTGTACCACAGATCACAATGATCGCAAGAATGATTCAACTCGGCACAATGACCGATGATTACTGCTCTATAATGCTGCGTGCACATCGCCATGCTGCTCTCTTCTTTGCTATTTAAAACTAGTCTCGGAGCTTTTTGATTATGCATCATAGACGTGCCGACGCCCAAGGTGAACTATAAATGTTAGAAACAATTTGCTAACATGAATGTGCCTGGACAACTCGTGGCAGTAAAAGTACTGTGATATTAATTATCCTAAAGTCTTGTTTCCACGAGCCATTTTAGAAATAAATGATTCTGCACTGAAAACGTTTTGAGTGCTGTTTCGAAGTGCATTGAAATGAAATAATATTTTGTGTGTCAGAGGTCCTTCAAATTTTGTTTTTTTTTAAGACACCTTGGATGAGAATATAATCAACATACCACAACGAAGTTCACCTGCTTGTGACGGCAGTGCAGGACCCTGTGCTTCTCGCAGCTGTTGAACTGAAGAAAAAAGTTATAAGTATAAACCATGAGAGCTACTACAAAGCAAACATATATGTTATGGTACTCACTTGCTGCTAGCTTGCCATCACTGGTTCTCTGCATTGATTCAATAATATTGGTGAGCTTCTCCTTCTCCTGGCAAGCCTCAGTGTAGCGCCACCGCCAGAATGCTGCGTCTGTCTTTGCCCTCTTCAGCTCGACTGACGACAACGGACTCGTCTGTATCGCTATCAGAATCACTCAACTGGCGTTTCCTCCTTCCAGGTGCCTGCAAGGCACATAACAAAAAATAGCACCCTGTACAAATACTACTGCAGCACATGAAACTAAGGTGGCAATATGGGGAAGTTGGTTCATGATTGATCCAAGAAAACAGCGCGCGAAGGAACGAAACGAGCCTGCTCGTCCTGTCTCCTTCCTTTCTTGTCGTCATATTTTGTACTCCGTTTTCTGTATTTTACAACAATGAAACATGCCCTTCTGTGGTATAAAGACTATGCATTAACACAAAGAAGAATGATCTGTTACATACACTGACAGCACTGACGACACCACTGTTTTTGCTCTGATTTGCTTAGTTGCTCTTGCAGGATACATTCATAAGCACTGCTTTTTGCTGCTGGCTGCATCTCTTTTTGCCTTTTCTTGCCCTAAAAAAATGAAAGCCGTTTACAATTTCCTGTAACGCCGGTTAGAGTGCAGCTCTTGAGGAGGAAGATGGAAGCATACTGAGGAATAGGTGACTCCTTGAGGTCGCGTGACCTAAGGGGGCTCGCGTGACGTCAGGGGGGTCACGTGACCTCGGGGGGTCACGTGACCTCGGGGGGTCACGTGACCTCGGGGGGTCACGTGACCTCGGGGGGTCACGTGACCTCGGGGGGTCACGTGACCTCGGGGGGTCACGTGACTTCGGGGGGTCACGTGACCTCGGGGGGTCATGTGACTTCAGGGGGGTCACGTGGCCTCAGGGGGGTCACGTGACCTGAGGGGGGACACGTGACCTGAGGGGGGACACGTGACCTGAGGGGGGTCACGTGACCTCGGGGAGTCACGTGGCCTCGGGGGGTCACGTGGCCTCGGGGGGTCACGTGGCCTCGGGGGGTCACGTGGCCTCGGGGGGTCACGTGGCCTCGGGGGGTCACGTGGCCTCGGGGGGTCACGTGGCCTCGGGGGGTCACGTGGCCTCGGGGGATCACGTGACCTCGGGGGGTCACGTGGCCTCGGGGGGTCACGTGGCCTCGGGGGGTCACGTAACCTCGCGGTGACGCCGACGCCAACGCCGACGGCGACGCCGCTCAAGACGGAAACGGGCCCCTAAGAGCTGCACTCTAAAAAGGGAAACAATGTGACAACCCATTGAAGGCAATGACATACCCAAACACAAGATAAAATTATGAAATTATTAACTTTGACTACCTGGATATTCCGATGTACAACCAAAATCTATACATGACACTTTTCGGGAATAAGCAATGCTTATGAGGCCCAAGACGGCATGCATTTATGTAGGGTCTTGTTGATTGCAAACAACCACTGTAGAGCAAGCTGAAAATATTGGTACCTGCATGTTGTCAACTCAAGTTTTCTTCAAAGGTTTATTTTAGTTGTCTAGTTTACATTATAAAATTTAATGCTTGGAATACACTTTTCTGGGAAATTTAAATTTCAGTTTGGTATTGCTTTATAAGCACCATACCTGCTTCAATGATACCCTGTCAGATGAAGCTGCAGTATTGTCTTCAGCCTCAAAATCAGATGTCTGCTTCTTTTCAAGATCCTCTCTGGTGTCTGTTATAGCAAATAATTAGAACAAAAAAATTATTTTTCATCCTGGGAAATATGTTGGCACCAGAGCTCTAATGAGGTAGTTGCAATATATAGCACAGATGCAAAATACATATAGTACCAATGCTTGAAAATAGTCTATAGCGAGCTCAATGGACCCTTTTCAAGAGCCTATCAACAACATTGACAGTCGCCATTGCTTGTACACGAAGCATGTAGCTGGATCCGAGTTCTCTTCGAACGCTGACGTAGCACTTGTTTCCAGTACAAGCTGAGCTGAGTTCACGCCGAATGCTAACACAGCCCTTGTGTGCAATACTTGCTCAGAGTATGTGATAAAGCAAAGCAATGGCGGGAAGGTGGTGGCACCAACTTTTGAAAAAGATCTTTGGATACATAAATATTCAACTTTAGTTGCGTATGGTGCCGATTCTATTGATCTACTACATAATGCAAGACAGCTCTTCTAGTGTGAACATATATATCAGATAGCATAACAGGACAGGACAGGAGAAGCACTACTCACAACTGCTACTTTACAGAGAAAGACTAGAAAGAAGCGTAGAATGTGATGATTGGAAATTATGTGAAAAAAAAAGTTGAATGTTGTACGTACATAGATTCGTAATGATACAAAAATTAAGTATTCAATTATGAACATTTTAAAGTCTAAAAATAACCCAAAATGTTAAACATTAGACACCCAGCCTGAGCCTTGATAGTTTTTGTCTAATAACCTCTCTGGTCATCCGGTTCTGGAAACGCTCTCGTGTGTTTCTGTACATGCGGCGCCGCCTGGCAACGGGCTAGGGAAGGTTGCGCATGCACAGTAAGGTCAGAGATACAAGGATTCATGTCCAACAATGGTATGCTTCGACGTAGCTTTGGACCATCGCTTGATGTGAGAGCGCTTGATTTGGCAAGCCGCGACGCTAGCTACCGTTATCTAAGGTCTTGGCTGCGTGGTGCGTGTGCAAGCAGAGTTGGTTGCTGCGGCAACGGTGAGAAGTCTCTTTGTACGGCGCCGAGGAGCCTTTTCTCTTGGAGCTCGATGTGCAAGCTCTTTGACTCATGCGCCAAAACAAAGCGCTTGCAAACCAAGCGGTGGTCAAGACGTATCATAGTTGAACGCAAACCCTCGTATCTCTGACCTTACTGCACATGCAAAACCTTCCCTAGCCCGTCGCCAGGCTGCGCAGCATGCACAGAAAGCCACGCACTTCGTTGTTCACATTTCAATGGATTGCAATTGTATGTATGTGCAAACGTACAAAAAAGCACAATTAGAAAATACAAAATTTGCAAAGGTGCGTTTGAAATAAGAATGATTCATATATAGCACTGAGGGATTTTCTATTTATTCAGACGGATTTTCTATTATTCAGACAATTAGCACAAAAAACTGATTTGCTGCTCTCTGAGTCAGCAGAGTAATAGAATATGCTCTTCTTTAACACGCAGTAAAGTGTTATGCTTGTCATTACTGTGTTTAAACAAACTGCAAAAACAAAAGGGGATATATTGCGGCGGCCGGCACAGTAGCTCAATAAACAAACTGCCGGTAGTGCCACAGCTTCCATAGGCTAGCTGCAAGTGGGATCCATGCGGTAGCCGTGGTCTCCCAACGTGAATTTGATTGCATATGGTCGCAGTTGCACGTGTTTTCTGATGCTCGCACCGCCTACAATATTTATTTTCAAACATACTCTGCTGGCTTTCGGCAAAACATCTATGCGAGTGTAACAAGTATGTAGCGCCCCCCTCCCGTCCGCCCGTCTGCGGCCGCCTTGCTCGGCGGGCAACATTGTTCACCGCACCAATAAACACCGTTGAGCGTACGCCGCTCCGGTCAGACATCATCCACCCTCACAACCAGGCTGCGTGTCGTCTCTCCTCGGCGGGTGCTTCGGTTCCTTTGTCCACGTTCCAGAAAGATTGTGACACTGGCGACGAGGAACCGTGGCACTGGAGGCCACCAACGTGCACGGTTCGGCCCACGCCGCTGAGAGAGTCGCAACACCGCCCCCCTCTCCTGTCGCCATGCCGCTGTACGGGAGGCTCGAGCCGTTCGAGGAAGATGGGTCCGCCTGGCCGGTCTACGAAGAACAGGTCCACGTGTTCTTCCGGGCGAACGACACGCCCGAGGCGAAACAACGGGACATCTTCCTGGCCAGCTGCGGGACCCGCGTCTTAGCCTCCTGCTCGACCTCCTGAAGCCGGCCACGCCGCACGTCAAAATGCTGGGTGAGCTGCTCGCCACGCTGCGCTCGCACTTCAGCCTGGCGCCGTCCACGCTTATGGAGCGGTTCCGCTTCAACAACCGGAGCCGCCAGGACGGGGAGACCCTCGGGCAGTTCGTCGCTGCGCTACGAGGGTTAGCGAGCACCTGCGCCTTCGGCGACCAGTTGGACTCGCTACTCCGGGACCGGTTCGTCTGCGGCATCAACAACCCTGCCATGCCGACGCGACTCCTGGAGCTCTCCGACCCCTCGCTGGACGACGCGGTGAAGGCAGCGCAGGCGATGGAAGCAGCAGCTAAGGACGCCAGCGAGATTGCGCGTGCGGCCGGCTCGCCGTCGACGGAAGCGGCGGTGAACAAGATGGCGGCAAGGAGCGGTGCCTGCAGCCGCTGCGGTGCTGCCCACTCCCCCTCACAGTGCCAGTTCGTCCAAGCACAATGCTTCATGTGCGGGAGAACTGGGCACCTCGCACGTGTCTGCCGAGGGGAGGACGAGCGGCGGCCAGCAGCAGCAGCAGCCTGGTTCAAGCCCGGGTTCCAGCCAAGCCCGCGGCCAGGGTGGCCGTCGCAAGAGAACGCGGCAGGGACGAGCGGCACCAGGTTCGGGTACCTCCTCAGCTAGGGTCCACGTCGGGGCCGAGGACCCGCAGATTTTCGACGTGTGGCACAACAGGAGAATTTTATCGTCTGTGCCACCATACATGGTGTCTGTCGAAATCTGCGGCCACCCCGTCACCATGGAGCTGGCTGGACACGGGCCAGCGTGTCGGTCATGCCCGGGAAGCTGTTCAAGCGGACCTTCCCCGGCGTGTCCACCGAGGCGTCAGACGTCATGCTGCGCAGCTACTCCGGGCAGCTTTCCCAGGTCCAGGGTCGGGCCCAAGTCAGCGTTCGCCTTGGCGACAGGGAGGCCATCCTTCCCCTTTACTTAACCAAGGGGTCGTCGCCGACGCTGCTGGGCCGGAACTGGATTCACTCGCTGGGTGTTCGGCTGCCGGAGTACCAAGAAGCTGCGCTGCACGTGGTGAAAGACGTCCCAAGCCTCCTGACCGACTTCCAGTCCCTGTTCCAGCCGGGGGTGGGCACCTTCGCCGGCACGACGGTTGGAATCCACGTACCCGAGGGAGCCCGGCCCCGCTTCTTCAAGCCACGTCCGCTGCCGTTCGCCCTGAAGGACGGGGTCACCCAGGAGCTGCAACGGCTGCAGCGAGAGGGAATCCTGGTGCCCGTCAAGTCTTCCGAGTGGGCCGCACCGATAGTTCCAGTCCTCAAGCGAGACGGCCGCGTCAGGATCTGCGGGGACTTCAAGGTCACCATCAACCCCGTCGCTACCGTCGAGAAGTAGCCGCTGCCTCGGGTAGAAGATCTCTGGTCGGCTCTGTCCGGGGGACAGAAGTTCTCCAAGCTCGACCTTCGAGATGCCTACCAGCAGCTGGTGCTCCAGGATGCCGCCCGGAAGTATGTCACCATTTCAACAACCATGGGACTCTTCCAGTACACGCGCCTACCGTTCGGCGTGGCCTCAGCCCCAGCCATCTTCCAGAGAGAGATGGACAACCTCTTCAGGGGCATGAGGCACGTGGCGGTGTACTTGGACGACATCCTGGTTACCGGTACTGATGACGGGGACCACCTGCAGAACCTGCGCAAAGTCCTGACACGACTACAGGACGCCGGTCTCAAGCTGAGGCTGGACAAGTGCGTGTTCCTGACCCCCAGCGTGGAGTACCTGGGACACATCATCTCCCAGGCTGGCCTGGCCCCGGCACCCTGCAAGATTGAGGTCGTGCTCAAGGCGCCGAAGCCCAAGAGCAAGAAGGAGCTTCAGAGCTACCTCGGCCTCATCAACTTCTACAGGAGGTTCCTGCCCAACCTGTCGACGCATCTAGAGCCGCTGCATCGCCTGCTTCGTGATGGGCAGCAGTGGGCCTGGAAGAAGGAGCAGGACCTGGCCTTCCAGAGCAGCAAGGAGCTGGTCGTTAAGGCTCCAGTGCTGGTGCACTTCGACCTGGCCAAGCCTGTAGTCCTCACCGTGGATGCGTCGCCGTACGGGGTAGGAGCCGTCCTGTCGCACCGGGGTCAGGATGGTCAGGAACGCCCTGTGGCGTTTGCTTCTCGTCGACTTCATGCGGCGGAGCAACGCTACAGCCAGCTCAACAGGGAAGGCTTGGCCCTCATCTTCGGGGTCCAGCGCTTCCATCAGTACCTGTGGCGCCGGCAGTTCGAGGCAGTCACGGACCACAAGCCGCTGCTGGGGCTGCTGGGATTTGACAAGGCAGTCCCAGTGCAAGCATCGCCTCGCCTACAGGTACAAGCTGGTCTACCGCCCTGGGAAGGACCTGGGACCTGCAGATGCCCTGAGCCGCCTGCCCCTGCCGGAGGTGCCTGCTGCCGTTCCAGAGCCAGCCGACGTGTTCCTGCTAGAGCGGGCCTACCCGGGGGTGCTCACCAGGACTGCGGTGGCGCAGGCGACCAGCCGGGATCCGGTCCTGTCCCAGGTGGTCAAGGCGGTTGCCCGAGGGGAGGAGCTGCGTCACCAGGCTTACAGCCACAAGACCGCAGAGCTGAGCTTGGAGCAGGGCTGCCTCCTGTGGGGTTCCAGGGTGGTGATTCCACAAAGTCTGCGGGCCAAGGTGCTGCAGTTGCTGCACGCGGGGCATCCTGGCATTGAAAAGACCAAAATGGTGGCACGGTCGCACGTTTGGTGGCCTGGCTTGGACCAGGACATCGTGCACCAGGTGCAAGGCTGCCAAGTCTGCCAGGAGAACCAGCGAGCCTCGCGCCACGTGGAGATCACCCCCTGGCTGTTCCCACAGAGGCCGTGGTCCCGCTTGCACGTGGACTATGCGGGACCCTTCAAGGGCCACTACTTCCTGGTGGTAGTGGACGCCTTCTCCAAGTGGGTGGAGGCACTGCCAGTCACCAGTCCCTCGGCAAGCGCGACCATTGCGGCTCTGCGGCAGGTCTTCGCAGTGCAGGGATTGCCGGACATTATTGTGTCCAACAATGGTCCTGCTTCCGCCAGCGCCGAGTACTTGGACTGGCTGCAGAGGAATGGAATCCGCCGGACGCTGGTTCCGCCGTACCACCCCGCTTCCAATGGTGCAGCAGAGCGGGTGGTACAGACCATCAAGGACAAGCTCAAGAAGAGCCAGCCCGGGGATTTCCGTACTCAGGTGGCCCGAGTACTGTTTCAGTACCGGACCACACCCCATGAGGTCACTGGCCATGCCGCCTGCGAGCTTCTGCTGGGCCGGATGGTCAAGAACCCCCTGGACGTCTTGCACCCAGACCTCCGGTCCTCGGCGCTCTTGAAGCAGCTGAAGCAGAAGCTGGCTGCTGACCGAGGGTGCCGTCCCGGGCCTTTGCCGGAGCCGGGAGCGTCGGTGTACGCCAGGAACTTCCGTCCTGGCCCACCATGGTCTGCCGGGCGTGTGGTTTCACCAGCGAGTGCCTCGTCGCTGCTCGTCCGCATGCCCGACGGGACCACCTGGCACCGGCACGCCGACCATGTCAGGCCTCGCCTCGGGACCTGGCTGCCACCCTCGGCCGTCGCTTCTGAGGACGAGCCTGCAGGGGGCCCAACAGCACCAGTCGTGGCCAGCGGAGCGCCACCCACCACGGAGGGAACAAGAGTCTCTAGTCCTGTGGCATCAGTTGGACCGGTGCCACACCGAAATCCGGTCCCTGCAGCTGCACCGGGTGGAGCCCGACCGATTCAGGCAGCGCCCGGCGTTGCCACACCTGGCCCGTCGACACCAGTGCCCAGGCGGAGTGCTCGGCAGTGGAGGCCACCCGACCGCTACTCGCCGGGGTAACCTTCGTCGTCGACCGGCCAGGACTTGGCACGACCAGACGCCAAGTTGGTGTCGGCCGTGTGCATTGTTATTTCATTTATTTTGTTTGTAGGAAAACAAACTAGGGAGGAGGGATGTAACAAGTATGTAGCGCCCCCCTCCCGTCCGCCCGTCTGCGGCCGCCTGGCTCGGCGGGCAACATTGTTCACCGCACCAATAAACACCGTTGAGCGTACGCCGCTCCGGTCAGACATCGTCCACCCTCACAACCAGGCTGCGTGTCGTCTCTCCTCGGCGGGTGCTTCGGCCCCTTCGTCCACGTTCGAGAAAGATTGTGACAGCGAGTGCTCGCAATATTAATATGACAGCAAGTAATTAATATGAGGTGAAATGATACTCACATGCCAGCAGCAATATCTGTGCTGAATAGATGCCAGAGTTTTTGCACTTTTCTTTGTCCTCCCAGTACGTGCTGTACACGCCATTCTTGTCGTAGTCGTTTTCGTCCGTCAAATTAAAGTCCTTTTTGGACTTTGCAAAGACAACATAAGGTGTCTCATCAAATTCATCCAAGAAACGAATGAGTGCAAACATTGTGTTTGAAAACAACAAGCTTAGAACAGCAGATTACAAACGAGAAGTACCCAGCCTAGCCCCCGAGCCAGATTGGATTAGTTTGGATTGGATTGTGCTGTAGGTTAATTTAATCTACAACTACTGAAAAACGTTGCATAGTTTGCGTTGTTTTATTGACGTATGGTTCATAAACTTAATCTTGAATAAAATGTTTTACTTTAAACTAAACCTCAAAATATAAGACCAACTTATTTGCTTTGAAAACAATAGTGAGATTAGTAGCCAACGTGAGCCAATTCATAGGTTGTTAGGGTTAGCTATCCCTGGCTATACCAAAACATCGTGAGCGCAGGTGGTGGTGGTGTGAAAGTGCTGGTTCTGCTTCGTGTGCCTATGTAAGCGAACTATGAACCAAAGTAACTACAAATCGCGAAAGCGCTACCTGGAACCAGACGCTTGGCGCGAACCTCTGCTACGAGCAACGGTACACGATCTGAAACAAAAAGCACTCGCGGCTTCACCGTCTACTTCTCCCCTAGCAAGCTGCTCTACAGCTGCAACATCCAGTTGATGTGTCAAATGACTACAGTGAAGACGAACTGGACGGTAATCCAGTTGCACCAGACAACAGAGTGGTAGGCGACAATAGTGAAGATGAGTTTGATGAACCTCTTGCTGCAGCAGACAATGGAGTGTCAGACAACAGTCTCGACGAGCTCGACGAAAATCTTAATAATGGTCCTGTTCTCGCAACCGAAGAAGACGTGTGCCCCCCTCTGCTGCGGAATCTCCACCTCCATCTGATGGGAATAGTTCCCCTTTCCGCTTGGAGTTCACGACTCTTCTTGGGAACGGGAGCTCAATGTCATTCGGGGATGTTCTTCTTATGGACATCTCTATAAAGCACTGTTTCTGATGGGCAGCGATAGAAGACGTCTTGAAATTCAGTAACATTTTGTTGGGAAGAGACGCCCTTCCAGACAACCCCTGCTGGGGGCACCTGTGAAAGCAGGTGTTTGGAGAGTGGCGTCTCCACGGACCCCGAGCCATGCGGGTTCGCCCGCCCACGTCTGGCTGTGCGTGGCTTTCCCGTGTCCGGGGAAAAGGACATCCTGGTGGTTGAGCCGAGCCCGGGGCAGGTTTGGACCCTTCGGGGCCCCCCGGGTTTGGCAATACACCACTTCGGCCCCGCTTCCCGTAGACGGGTGTCCTGGCTTGGCCCGACCAGGATGATTCAGTCAGTCGCCACTTCTACTATCCCCTCCCCTCTTTTACCTTTGTCTTCTCCTTCTTTTCACTCTTCTTATTTTCTCTTCTTTCCTTTTTTCATTTCCTTTGGCGGCAAGGGCTAACCTTGCGTGGCGACAGACTCCTCGTCCAAAACCACACTCGGTTATAGTACCTGGGCAGTGCTAATAGTCTAACGGTTCCAGCAAAGCCCTTTTTGTTATGGTCCGTTAACTATTCCCTTGTTGGCCCTAGCAAAAATTCCGATAGAGATTTGTATCGGACCAATAGAGATTTCTATCGGTCCGATAGGAATTTCTATTGGTCCCATAGAAATCTGTATCGGTCCCATAAAAATCTGTATCGGTCCCATAGGAAGTTCAATTGGTCCCATAGGAGATGTGTATCGGTCCCATAAAAATCTGTATCGGTCCCATAGGAAGTTCAATTGGTCCCATAGGAGATGTGTATCGGTCCCATAGGAGTGCGTATCGGTCCCATAGGAGTGCGTATCGGTCCGATAGGAAGTCTTATTGGTCCCATAGGAGTGTGTATCAATCCTATAGGAGTGTGTATCGGTCCCATAAGAGTGTGTATCGGTCCCATAGGAATGCCTATTGGGCCTATAGAAATTTCGATCGGTCCAATAGGCATTCCTATTGGTCCCATAGGAACTTAGACTGGTCCCATAAGGACTTTATCGGACGGTTAGGAATCTTCATCAGTTAAACCAAAAGTTTTGTTGGCCAAATAGGAATGCTTCCTTGACTAGTAGGAACCTCGAATCATTCAATAGGAATGTACCAATTGTGCATATCTATATTTGAGCAATAGGAATAAATTAGACATATGTCTGTCAGAATTGTCCGGTTCAGAAATACACCAGCCCATTTGATGCATGTGTTATGTAACCTGAGCTGTGTGATGCAAATATCTATTCCAAATGAAAAAATGTGTCCACTTTAGAACAGCATGCATAAAACTACATCAGTCAAGTTAATTATGCGACAATGTTACATTTTTTATTTTCCTCAATATTTTCGAATGGCAAAAATGATTTAAGCCCAGGTTACATAACACACCATCATCGTAAATCAATGGGTTATAAAAATTCATATAGTTTTGTAGCTTGAAATAATGCTAGAATAAGAGACTCACACACAGTCATGCACAATTTAGAGGAAAATAGCACAATGAAATGCTTTCTTTTCTGAATAAATTTTAGGGCAATATTCTAAATAAAACTTGGGACCCTGGTGCGTCAAAATAATTTACTAATAAAATACTGTAAGGAAAGTGTAAATAAAAGTAATCTCCACGAAAAAATAAAGAAAATATCTTGATGGGTTGAAACAAAGAAATCTACTTCCTACTCCATTTCACCCAAAACAAATGGAGAGTCGGTACTAGTCATAATTTACACATTTATTTCATGTGCTTATAACAATAGTTGTATTCACCCTCTTTTATTCCTAAGTTTGTAAATACATTTTTGTGGCACCCTCCATCGCGATTCGGCCAGTTTCGGTTTCCATTTTGTAAGGAGCTCATATTGCTGAAAAACAGCACGGCTGGGACAAGGACAAAAAGACGAAGAGAACACAGGACAGCGCCTGTCCTGCGTTCTCTTCGTCTTTTTGTCCTCGTCCCGGTCGCGCTGTCTCTCAACATGAATTCTCACCAACTTGCCCAGTTATTTATTCCTATCGAGCTCGTACTAGTTACAGCACCCCATCGCTAGCGACACCACACTTTTTTTTTCCCCCGACATTGTCTTGTCGTGCGTCGGGTGTGTTTCTGTCAGGGGACGAAAATGCTTTTAGACATGGAAATGTACTCATTTATCCAAGTTTACCTATCTGTGAAGTCTCCTCTTATGTTGATTATGGTCAAGAGCTTGGAAGACCCACGACGCGACAGTCTAGCGAGAACCTCAACACACTTGGTAAGCATGCTTTTGGTCTTTGTTTGCATTGTAGACGCGTGGAAGTTTGAACATTAGGGAGTTTCAGAACAATGTCCGCAACCTCGAATAAATAACGTCGTCGCTAGTGCGAATGCGCAGACCCAAAACGAGCATTGAGGCTTGGTCTTTGGGGCCCGTTATATCTCGGAAATAGCGCGGATACCGAAAATAGCGGCGCCCACGACATTCCGTTGATCGCGTCTTCGCCGCCCGCCGCCCGCTTAGGACTGCGTGAGTCGCACTTGGCGATTGCCGTTGGCATAGTCATAGCGTACAGAAAATGTCACATACCGTTGGATTCAGAGCTCAAAGCTATCAAAGCGCGTGTACTGGCGATCGCGGCAGAAATGTAAATATGCCGGGGTTATGGATCGTCGTGGCCTCGGAAGTACAACAGAGCAGCTTGACAGTGACAGAAACATGCTGCATTGAGTATAAAACAACTATAAAAATGTTATTCCAGACGATAAGTTTGTTTAATTTTAAAGATATAACATTCTAACTTCAAAATAAAAGCTATCGCAACATCTTGGTGGCGCTTTAAGTGTGAGATGCTTGCGTTTTGGGTCCCCGGCAGAGAAACGCTTTTGCCGTCCGTAACGCGAGATAAATTTGCGCCCGTTATTCTAAAGCTCCCTATTTTCTCGGCTCACTTTTGCTTGTTAAGCTATTTTTTTTAACTAGTTGTGCTTGTTTACCTGTTCTTACGTTTGGAACTGCGCGTCGCATAGAGAAAAGTTGTCCCTCATTCCGGGTGTGGTCCGAGCAAGTGTAGCTTATGTCAACAGAGCACACTTACTAAATTCCTTAATGCTACCTTCAATGCGTTTCTTTAGAAAATGTCTTACTGGTCTAGCAGTGGACTGAAGTGGTCCCACTATAAATTGAGTACATTGATCATACTTAATTTCATTTGAGAAGTTTTTCATAGTATTCGGTTTATGCAGAGCCACTATACCTTTGCAGTCAAAATGGTTCGAAAATAGCCATCTTTATAAAACGCGCGACAGCATGCAACTAGTTTTGAAGTTATGCAAGTGGACTGGATGGTACTGTTAAGGCAAACAGGGCAAACTTCGATCTTCTGACTTTCCCGAATTAATCTGAGTTTATATACCTACTATGTATTTGTTGACCGAACTAAATGAGGCGTTGTTAGGAATCCCACTAACAAAGCTGATATTAATTTTACATTATTTAATTTCAAGGTTCTTCAGAAGGTAGATGCTTAATAAGTTTTGAAGGCAGTTAGGCTCATGATGAAGACAGAAAACAAAGGAAATCCAGCCTCTTAATTTTATTTTCTTCAGTCTGAAATTTAAAAATGCTCGAGTCATCTATCAAATGGCTTTAGCCTTAATCACTTTCTGTGGTGACATCATCCTCCACCTTTGCCACGCCGCCGATTAACTCTTTTTGTTTGTTCTGCTGCTCATTTCAGGATTTCAAGCAAGGAGTATGCCATTACGCTCTGGCACCTTCAAGACTCAGTTTGTGACAGTGTTCAGCGTCAAGATGCCTTCATAACAGGAGCAAGTGTACCCCAAGACCCTTTTTTGCATAATAAAATGTATAAAGGCACCACCATACCCTGTGTGCTCATGCAGATGGCCTATATGCCAATGCACAAATAGGCCCATACACCAATAGGCCCATACGCCTATAGGCCCATACGCCTATAGGCCCATACGCCTATAGGCCCATATGCCTATAGGCCCATACACCTATAGGCCCATACGCCTATAGGCCCATACACCTATAGGCCGATACACCCATAGGTGTCAATAAACCGATAGGCTATGGGAATTCTCTATGGGAATTTTTGCTAGGGGGGCTCCGTGGTGGGCGGCACACCACAGGTTCTGAACACTTTCCGCCTCTTATG